AGCCCACTTCCTCTTCGGGCACTTCCTCCTCCTAGCAGCATAATCGTGTCTCAATCAGAGATCCAGACGTCCAAGACAATGTAGACCAACAGTGCCACGTGGCACCAGCAGACCAATCATCAAGCAGCGGCRTGACRACGAAGCTAAAGACACCAGGTACGTATCACRACCCCAACCACAGTCCTGAATCCTCCTTCCGAGTACTTGTCAAGCARARCAGCAATACAGGCGCCCARCGCCTCCTATCTCAACAGCAATACTACGTGGCAGCAGCCACGAAGATGACACGTGGCATCTGCCATGTCGACAACCCCTCAGACAATAGTGCGCCAGCCAGCATGCTGGTCGCACAGCACACTCAAGCCACGAACCAGCGACGAGCGYCGRTCGTCAAGTTCTCCCCGCAGYGTCTCGCCAGCAAGACAGCATAGAGCCGGCGTTGAYGCGAGAGCGTCGAGTTTCCATAGACTCCAGACGAGAGTCTAGATGTCAAAGCCAGGAAATCAGCCCAATATGTAGTGTTGACGGCGGGGTCTGGGCCCCAGTCCTCAAGTCAGACACGGCCGAGATCGATTGTCGTCGACGGCCTGGATTGAGTTGAAACTGTATCCTCCTTGGTCCACCGTTCTGACTGGGTACCTGCACACATACAAGTCAATGCACACGACCAAGGGCCTGGGCGAGGTACCTGGACCTACAGTTCACTTTGACCTTTGAATTTCTTGCTGTGCGTGGTCACACAGCACCCGCAGCGGCCTGAGGCCGAGCACAGCGCGTGGTCGCACTGCTCGCTGGGCCTGGGCTTGGGTTACAGCGCCCAGGCCGCTGCTGAACGCGGTTTACTGCACACAGGTAAGGTGGGGACTAGGGATCGAGCCCTGGGATCTGCATCAGCTACTGCGAACTGGTGAATACCGTTTCAAGAGGAAGAAGAAGAAACGTGGAGAAGAAAGAAGAGAAAGAAGGAAAAATAGAAAAATTTCTGGTAACTTACCTGCGCGTTGGCGATGGCAGTGGCGGCGGTGACGATGACGTGGCTGCCTTCACTTACGGCGGGCACGTTGCTTGCCGGAGGCCCCTTTGGCATTGCTAGGCCACGGTCAAGCGGCCATTTGTGAGGGTTGAATGATTGAATCCTCGCAATATATATACATATATATATGTATACATATGTATGTCCCTGAACCGGGCAGTTCTCTATGACTATATAGTATATAGTAATAATAGTATACTGTATACATGATATTACATGCACATAATTTTTGTGTGTTTTGTGTCTTTTATTTGAAAACCAACTAAATCCAGAACTTTCAATCAAGGCCAGGGTCCTCACAATTCTACCAGGTGAAGTACTCCTGCCATTACCCAACTTCAGCTCTCTAGATCATGGGGCAGATGCAGGTCAGGTTTTTGGCGCGCATCTGGCTGTCACGAGAATGTCACCAGTCGTCAGCAAACATCAGTGATTTTTTTTTAACATCTGCTGGTGGTACTACTGAGGGTGATACAGGCATCCCCCCAGTAGTACCTACCCCACAGATAGCTCCTATTAACTGGTGAGGAGCTACACCTGCTGGAAACCGGGTCTGGCGTCCTGGGTAACAATCTGGAAGTACCGGGGCCATTACCCAGTTTCGGCTTCAGAAAACGATTTGTGTTATAGTGGTAGAACGCCACTATGTGAGGGAGGGGGGCAGCCTTGAATACTCCGGGGGTGCCAGAGGGCCGACCACTGCAACTCCCTTGCTTCTTTGGAGTTTGTGTCATCATCCACCCTGAGGGGCATCAGGGGGATGATTGTCTGACACTGGGAAAATCGTCAGGCCCATGTTCAGCTTGCAGACCATTGGGTACCCTACGATGGAGAGACTGTGTGGCGGGAAGGGGTCAGAAAACTTGGTTGGATGCCGCAAAGGGAAGGCCGGATCTATCTTGGTCCAGCAACTGAAGACTGAACTCCCCGGGATTGTCCCCTCTCCATATTACCGATGCTATCTGCCCACGCGGGTCTCGCCCCAATAAGTCCTTGCAGAATCTCATGATAGCTTGTTTGATGTCTTTTGATGTGTTGACAAGATCCAGTTTAGCTTTCACTATTTTCCATCTGTGGGTGAGTTCCCTCCGTACTTGTTGCTTGCTTTGCTCTGT